AATTTTAGCAAATAATAATAAAGAAATTCGCATTATTAAAAAAAGTCTGTGAATTGTTAAGTTTATGAGCCTACTATGAGGCTCGAGCCGAGCTGAGCCTATATAAGTAAGGCTCGGCTTGACTCGAGCCTAACTTATAAACTCAGGCTTGAGTCGAGCCTAAGATTTTTGGGCTCAACTCAGCCTGAGCTTTATGAGGCTCGGCTCGGCTCGGCCTATGAGGAGCTTTAGTCACAATTAGCATTTGAATTTTAAAAATATTTTTAATAATTTTTAAGTGGTCGGATACTTTTGGCTGGATATTTAATTACGGATATCTGTGATAAAGATCCGTTCGCGGATAAACGGATATCCGGGAAGTGTATATTACTTGTAGATGAACTCACAAATCCATGAACTCGATTCCAAGAATATCTTTATACATGTCTTCCACAAACCTGGAAAAAAAGAGAAAATAAATATTTATTTATAAAGAACAAAAAAAAATATAATGAATAAAAAATCAAACCTATCCATCACAATTTCAAGAAGTTATAGCTAAATAATAATTAAAAATAGTGTTATTTAAAAAGAAAAAAGATACATTTTTTTTATAAAAAAATATATATGTATAAAAAAAAATGACGCCCGTTTTTGACCAATCAGAGCGTCACATGTGTTGAAAATTTAGAACCGGATTGATAAACCGGATGAAAAATCAAAAAATCAAAATATCACGCGGATGATCAGGTTTCTGAGGTTTAAAACCGGATCACCCGTGAAATCGGATTTTATAAACCCGGTTCTAATCCCTAATTTTGCCCAGTGGTGACAATCACCACCTGTGAGCTTTAGCAATTTTCTTATTATTTAATTAAATGCAGTAGTAGTACAGAATAGTACAAAATCATTTAATCATCTGATCTGGAGCCAAAATATAAAGCTGAATATTTTTAATAATTAATATATTTATATATCTATTTATGATGGGAAAACGTGGTTCAGTTTTAAGTAAATTTCAAAGCTTAGATGCGTATGCTAAAACGCTTGATGATTTCCGCATTAAAACTTATTATGGTGCAGCACGTAAGTTAATAAAAGTTTTGTTTTGTAAGTGAAATTTTTATTCGTTGAAAATTCAGAATATTAAAATTATTTATATTTTAGTTACTATAATAAGCGCCATTATTATAATTATTTTACTCTGGTCAGAATTCAATGAGTATAGGTCAACAGAAATTAGACCAGAGTTGATAGTTGATAAAAGTAGAAAAGAAAAGTTAACAATAAATATCAATGTCACGTTTCCAAGAGTACCTTGTTATCGTACGTATCAGTATTAATTAAAATTTAATTTAAATTAATTAATTAATTAAATTTATTTAATAAATCAATTTTAAACGATTCCTTAATGAATCTAGTTTTGAGTGTTGACGTGATGGATATTGCTGGGGAGACACAAAATGATTTAGCACATGACATATATAAAACTCGATTGAATACAGATGGAACTCGAATAGATGTTGAGAAAGCTGAAGGTAGATTAATAATTGTTTAAAATATTTTTATGATTTTGTATTTTTTATATTTTTATATTTCTTATTTATTGTTTCATTATCGAATTAGATATTGGCGATCATACGAAAGATATAATAAAAATAGTTAACAGTACATCTTTAACCAATGAAACTTATTGTGGAAGTTGTTATGGAGGAATACTTCCTGAAAGTAAATGTTGCAATACTTGTGATGATGTTCGAGAAGCATATATTAAGGCAGGATGGTCTTTAAGTGAACCAGATGAAATTGAACAGGTATTTTATATTTAAATTAATTATAGAAAAAAAAAATTAATATAATCATAATTTAATAATTTAATACTAAGTTTTAAAGTTTTAATAGTGTGTAAGAGAAGGTTGGAAAGAAAAAGTAGAAAAACAATCTAAAGAAGGTTGTAATGTAGCAGGAAGTGTGAGGGTTAATAAAGTAGCAGGAAATTTTCATCTTGCACCTGGAAAAAGTTTTCAACAAAATCACGTTCATGTTCATGATTTACAACCATTTTTACATGATAAAGTTCAACATGATTTTTCACATGAAATCCATCATTTAAGTTTTGGACCTAAAGTTGATGGTGTTGTAAATCCTTTGGATGGTGTTGGTAGAACTATTTCCACAGGTATTTATTTAAATTATTTTTATTTAATTATTTTTATTCATTTTTATTTGTTTATTTATTTTATTTTGATTTATTTATTTTTGATTTATTTATTTTTTTTTTTAGGACAATATATGTTTCAATATTTTGTTAAAGTAGTTTCTACACATTTTTATTTTCTAAACCAAACCACCATTCTCACGAATCAATACTCCGTAACACAATTTGAACGTGACTTGACTGGTAAAGATCATAAGGATGGTCATTCGCACAATCATTATGGAGGTTTGCCAGGTAATAATATATAATGTTATAATGTTTAAAAATAGATGTTTTATTAACTTTTTCCAATTTTATTATTAGGTGTATTCTTTAATTATGACATTTCACCAATGTTAATTATAAATAGGGAAGAGAGTAAAAGTTTCACCCATTTTTTGACAGGAGTATGTGCAATTGTGGGTGGAATATTTACTGTTGCTGGAATATTAGATGGGTTTATTTATAATGCAGAAAAAACATTCAAGAAAAAAGTTGAATTAGGAAAACATTTGTAAAAATGGTAATAAAAATTTTTTCTTGAATATGAATATATTTATACAAATACATATTTAAAATTTATATAATATATAAAATAGAAATAAAATAGAAATTTAACTAAATTACTTCAAATTTTTCATTAATTTGGTTAATTTGTTTAATTGATTAATTTGGTTAAATGAATATTGTTTTCATATACAGTAATTTTTGCCACATATAAAAATACTTTAAAAATTAAAAAATTTAAAAATTCTATACTAAAAATACATTTTGTTTATATTATCTCTTTTAAAGTTACATATTATAAAAAAATATTTTTACAAATATTTTTATATATAGCAAAAATTATTAATTTTATAATTGTTATAATTATTATATTAAAAAATTTTATCGATATTTATCGCAAGAAAAATAGAATTTTCTATAATCTATGACCAGGAACTACTGTAAAAATTATCATAATAATAATCGAGACTATCAAACTTTGTAAAAATACTCTTATACCTTTCCTTATATGTAATCTGTATATATATGGTTCGGATACTTTTTGAAATTTAAAAAAAGTTGTTTCACTAAAAGTCGAAAGTAATTTGAAAATAATTGAAAATAATTAAAAATAATCGAAAAAAAAAAATAATAATAATAAGAAAATGTGAATGAAATAAAAATTAATATAAAATTTTAATAAATAAATTATACATTCTCTTTTATACCTTATTTTCAATGCGACAAAAAGTGGGCTAAGTCCTGTTAGATTAGTAAATAAATTTATCACTCCCAAAAAGATAGGAATAAAACTCTACAAATAACAAATTCAAAATTTTGATTAAAATGTGAAAAATAATAAATTTAATGAATATTTAAATCTAGTAATATTTAAATAAAGATAAATACCCATATTCTTTTAGTATTGGGTTTTATATCCAAGAAAATAAAACTTAATGCTATTGCAAAACCAAGGAATAAAAAGAATAATCCTATAACCAAACGTAACATGGTCTGTGGTGCTCCCATATTACCAAATGCTCTTGCTTGTAAAAACCTAGGAAAATGTTGATTTTCCATTTTTTCATAAATTTCTTTTTTAGCATCATGATAAATCCATGGATCTCCTCTATTACGTATATCTTTATAATATGGATCACCGTCTATGGCAAGTGTAATATTTTTTCGAATATATTCTGGTAATTTAATCAACTTCTCCGAACCTTCATAAATATATTTATAATAAATACGTTCCGCTGATTCTCGAAGATCCTTTCGAGAAAAAGGTCTCTCTCTATCATAAAATGAAAGATTACCCGCAGTAGTATTGGTTTTGTTTGATCGGACTGAATCCCTATTTCTTTGTAATCCTTTACTTCCAGATGAAATATCAATTACGTGTGAATTTGAGTTTACTGTTAATGGTGATAACGGTCTTGATGGAGGGTCAATAATTCCACTACCTGAAGTAAATGTGGTATCAGATCCACGCGATGAACCACTTAATTGTCTATGAACTCCATCATTACTGAATCTACTTAAGTCTCCTTTTTCTGGAGGTCGAAATTTTTCATATTCAGGATATTCTAAATTTACATCCAGTCCAAGTTTCTTTATGTCCTTTACGAATGCTTTACATATCACCTCATGTTCTAATACATCAAGATAAAAGTCCAAATATTCTGAAGCATATTCTCTATCTCTCATATAAAGGTAAAAGTTAAATAAACATACAGGAGGAGCAGTTTTACGACTAAGAACTTCCTGCAATGTAGGAAGTCTATTCCGATTGAAGGTTGGATATTTCGCTCTAGCAAGACGTTGACCTTTTTCACTAGCCATATTAAAGTTCAACTAAAAATCTTTAAAAATAAAAATAATAAAAATAATAATAAATAATAATAATAATCAAAATTGAGTTGTGGAATTCATTAACACTTTTGAAAGACATTATTATATTGTGAACTAAAATGTACTTGTGTTTAAAATAAAAATCTCGGGTCACTTACTATAGTAATAGTTAGTATAATTTCAAGAACCTTACATAGGTTAATTTTTAGTGAAAAATTTTATATAAATGACAATTTTTTTTTTTTTTTTTTTTGACCCGAAGGTAAAAGGTGAAATAAATTAGACCGCATTGTCACTGGTAAAGTTTTACAGTTCTATGTACTCTGTACGCCAAGTTTCACGATTCTAACAGTAGTAACATTTAACATTAAAAGCGGTAGGATTAGCGGGAATTATTAAAATTATTATCAAGTTACAATCCAGTTTGATAAACTTAATAATACGCTACATAATAATCGTTATGATCATGTGTTAATGTTATAAAAAATATTTTACTAAATAAATAAAATAAATAAATCCAAATATATATAAATTGTCTATCAGTCGAAAATTAGAAAATTGATAATAATAAAAAAAAAAAATTGTGCTGGTGATATATGTATATTTATGGATATTAAGTATCAAAAAATATCTTTGAAGAAGTGAAACAGTAAAAGATTGAATTATTACTTTAAGAAGAATTTCCAACTTCCTCCTATTTTTCCAATACAAGAATTCAAAGTTAATTTCCCAATTGTTTTGGAAAAAAAAAAAAAAACTATGATCTGGGTGAATTAATAGATTATAACAACGTTGTAATTAAATAATAATAATAAAGATTTAAGATTTTTCAGGTCAAAAAGAGGAAATCAATTAAATTTAATAATTAAAATCTTGAAGTATGGTACAAATTAATTTGTTAATTCAAATAAATAATTACATTAAATTTACCTTCCTCTTTAAAGTTAATATATTCATGAATTTCATAAATTTCAGGTTTTTTTAAAAAAATATCATATGTTATTATCGTGTAACTTCGGATACTTCAACTATTGGTTAAATCTTTGATGTTTTTCTTTCCAAAGCATTAAAAATTCCATTAACCCTCCTTATAAAATTAATAAAATTAGTAAATTGATGGAATGGTTTCGTTCGGGGTATTTTTAATAATATACTTATTTGGCGGAATTACCTTTATTCCACTTGTGTTACTAATTAGTATTTTGATAATTTATCGACCATGGATTTCAAAATCAGTTGATAATAAAGAAATAAAATTTGACGAGGTATCACCTGAATTAAAGAATTCTTTATTAAATGAAAAATCTCAACTGAGTGATGATTCACATTTTTATAAAGTCGGGTGGTTACGTGTTACTAGAGAATATGAAATTAATTCTACGATTCCTAATGGATCAACATTTGGTAATATAATGAAATCTTTTATGGAAGGAAAGAATGCACAAGTCAAACGACCAAAAGATTCATTTTTCGCAGTGCTCAAATATAATACACTCTTTATGTATGATAGTGAAAGACAATTGGATTGTAAAGGAATTATTATTATTTCAAATCATGATGTATCAATGTATCCAGAACAATTACCAGATAATGAAATTTTTATAAAAGCCACATCCATTAGACTTAAAACCAAAAAATCAATTTGTACAGATATGGCGATAGGAATTGATAGTTCAAATTATTATTTATTTTGTGATATAGGAGTAGATAAAGAAGATTGGTATTTTTCTTTACAAAGGTCATCAAAATTGGAGTCAAATTCTCCAGGACGACAACCTCAAGTTGTTAAAGACAAAACACAATTTGATCAACTTTCAATGGATCATCTTTTAAAAACTATTAATTCAAATGAGGAACATATTCAAACTCAATGGATAAATGTAATATTTGGACGAATATTTCTTTCCATTTATAAGACACAAGTAGTTAAAGAATATTTTATAAAAAAATTGAAAAAGAAAATAAAGAAGGTAAAGAAACCAAATTTCTTGAGTGATATACAAATAAAGTCAGTAGAAGTTGGAGATGGAATTCCATTTATCACTAATCCTAAATTAATTGAATTAACTTCAGAAGGGGAATTAAAAGTTGAATTGAATATTGATTATTCAGGAGGATTTCGAGTAGAAATTGAGACGGAAGCATTAATTACTGTAACTCGACTTAAAACGATAAAAGTTCCATTAGTACTCGCAGTAGTATTGAGAGGATTACAAGGAAGAATGTTATTACGTATAAAACCTCCTTCAACTAATAGAATATGGTTAGGATTTTATGAAATGCCAAAATTAGATTTATTGATAGAACCAATTGTATCAGAAACCCAATTGAAATTTTCACCAATACTTAATTTTATAGAATCAAAAATTCACGAAATGTTTACAGACTCTTTGGTATTACCAAATATGGATGATACACCATTTTTTGGTAGTTTTGGTAAAGGAGGTGTTTTTGAAGGTGATATAAAAGTTGAATCATTAGAAAATGAAATTCAACAAGATCTGCAAGCTCAACAAGATGAAATAATAGAATCAGAAATTTTTACGAGTGATAAAAATAAGGAAAAAAATGAAAACGATGAAAATAATAATGAGAATAATAATAATGATGAAAATGATAATAATAATAAGAATAATAATAATAATAACAATAATAATAATAACAATGAAATAAATAATGAGAATAATATTAGTGAAAATAATAATAATGAAACAGTGGAAAATCAAACTAATAAAACCTCTAATGAAGAATCAGAAAAATCAGAAAAATTAAATGGAATTAATTCATCACCTGCTAAATTAGAATCCGATTCTTCCACGACTTGGATTCCTACAAAATCAAGATTTAATAGAACTTTATCAACATTACAAGGATCGCTTAGTGAACCTAATTTACTTATATCTAATTCTAAATTAAGATATATTGGTAAACATTTCAAAAGTAGGAATGATGATACGACGAATGATAACAAATCATCATCAAAAAGTAATAATACAAGTTCATCATCATCAACATCATCATCATCATCATTATTGAATAATTTAGAAGATACTGTAGAAGAATCTTCTGATTCTCAAACTTCTACAAGTTCATCTAATTCTTCCACATCGACATTTAGAAAATGGGGACAAGCAGTATCAATACGTAGAAGAGCTTCTAGTATGGGAATCAAAGGGATACTTAATAATAGTTATAACAGTAATAATAATAATCAAAATCAAAATCAAAATAATAATCAAAATCAAAATAATAATCAAAATCAAAATAATAATCAAAATCAAAATAATAATCA